CATACTTGTAATGGGACTTAATGTTTTAAACTTTTGTTTTGGGTGTTTATGTTTTTCCTTATAGCAGATTTTTCTTAATGATAGATAAGTTGTAGAAATAGAAATGTAGTAGGAATTACAGATTAGTAGGTAACCACATGTGCCTTGGCGTTGGAGTCCCGGCTGTCGCCCAATGGCTACTACTGAAGAATAAATAATGGCTTACTTTGAAATGAAATGACTATAGTGTTTTACACAATTTTCTTTAAAAACACCTACTTAACCATGAAGTAAAAAATAGAATAGTCAAATGTCTGTGCATGCCCACTTAGTCGTGAAGTAAAAAATAGAACAATTAAGTGTGCAGAAGCTTGTGGTGATTTCGGTGTAAATAAAAAGCTTCTTGAGCTGTCATTCAGAGCACCAAGTGACCGCAGTCCGTGTCTCTTTTCTCGCTGACTCCACACCCTCTTCCTCAAGCTCTGGACTCAACTGGAACTGTTCTCCAGCACTGACCGAATGGTCTTTTAAAGTTAGTCTGAATCAGACTGGCCCTCAGTGATGTGTGTCTCATGAATCTTGGAGATGTGAGATTTCAGCCGATTGGAATGTGTTGAACACATGCTTGGAATCCGGGCTTCTGACCCACCTGTGAGGGGCTCACCAGGGCCAGCCCCGAGCAGGGGCAGAAGCACCAGGGCCGTCTGCCCCTAACCAGACACACAGGCTGTAAGTGTTTTCTCTCCTCTTTCACTGGATTGTTCCCTTTGCCTTTAGAGGCTTTGTAGTTCAATGTAATGTTCTCTCGTTTTGTTTTTTGTTTTTGTTTTTGTTTTTTTTGTCTCCTACAGTTTGTGTGTCATCTCTGAAAAAAAAAATCAATGCTGATTTCAGTGTAAGTTTTTTTTCTTTTGACGGTGTGTGTGTGTGTGTGTGTGTGTGTGTGTGTGTGTGTGTGCAGAAACCTCATGGTAACATTCACATTTCAGTCTAACTCACGTGGTTTAAGTTCCTTCTTCACATGTCGATATCAGGCTTTTCAATGCCACCATTTAAGGAGCTGCTCTTTCCCCAACGAGTGTTCCTGGCACACGTTATAGTAAAGTGCTAACTGGCTATATGTGTGGGCGAGTTTCTGGACTCATTCTTTCCTATTGGCCTCTGTATCTTACCACGTCAGCACTATGCTCTTTTCATTATTACAGCTTTATAATAATAAATTGAAATTGTAGATTACATTCTTCCGGCTTCGTTTTTTTTTCCCCTCAATTTTATTTGCCAATGGAAATTGTTTCACTGTTTTACACAAATTTTAAAACTATTTTGGGGGCTGGCACCTTGGTTTAACTGGCCAATCCTCCACCTCCTGATTAGACATCCCTCATGGGCACAGCTTCACGTCTCAGATGCCCCACTTCCCATCCAGCTCCCTGCTTGTGACCCGGCAAAACGGCAGAGGACGGCCCAAAACCTTGGGAGCCTGCACCCACATGGGAGACCCAAAAGAAGCTCCTGGTGCCTGGCTTCGGATTGGCTAAGTTCCAGCTGTTGTGGTCATCTGAGAAGTGAACCAGCAGATGGAAGCTCTGTCTGTCTCTCCCTCTCTCTGTAAATTTGCCTTTCCAATGAAAATAAATCTTCAAAAGGGAACGCTCTTTTAATCCACTGTGCAATCGGAGTGGAACAAAATTCTCAAGATGGTGATCTCTCTGGCTCCAGAAAACAAGAAATCCCTTTGAACCCTAAGTGTGGTCACAGCTGGAGCAAATCAGCAGGAGGGATACTACTCGCCAACAACAGGAGGGATATTACTCTGCAACACAGGAGACATTACCTTGACGTTCCCGTGCACGAGGCTGCCACTCATCAAGCATGTCTCCAGATCTTAACCTGAATTCAAGCCTGGTTTCCTTCACCCAACAAGCCCCTAAAGCCAGCAACACCTGGCTAGCAGTCAGCCCCTGGGAACTGCTCCTGGACAAGTGTCCACTTACTTAGCGGCTGGGGAGTCTCCAGGGGTCAATGGGCCCAATGTGCCACAGGCGAGAAACCCACTTAGGACTATGGTCCCATCTGAGTCTCCAATTGTTGCTGAATAACATCCAAAATAGTTGGCAATGATCTAGTAGAGCCCCCACATTTGGTCACATGCTCATGCAAAAAAAGCCAGTCACTGACATCAGTGATGAAAAAAAAAAATAGGTATTTATTGCAAAGTGCGGAGCAAGGAGCCAGGCAGCTATTGCTTAATTCCTGGGCTCCCTGAAGCATTAGGGGTGAAGGTTCTTAGGACTGAAATCGGGGTTGAGAGGTGTGTGGTCAGCTCGTGGCCAGGCTCCTGGCTGGTCAGTGGAGCTCGTGAGCTCCCTGTGACTGGTCAGTGATCCTGTGCTCTGTAGGGAATTCGCGGTGGCCAGGTGGGCTCCAGTGGTCTGGGGGTGATGTGGATATGGCAGTTACCTCCCAGCAGACCTGGACTCCCCTGCACAGATCAGCCCAGCACAGCACTGCCGCAAGGTTCTGGTCTACTGGAGGAGCAAATGGCCCCTCGAGTCTGGTGATTAGAACCATGTAAGGTCACCTGGATCCCTTAGGTCCACGAACTCCTCTTGATACAGAACAGGCAAGGACCCTCGAGCTCAGGGGACAGACAGGGGGCTGGGTCCTGCTTTATGTTATGGGGTCTCAGCTTCATAAATGTGTTTTATGGACACCATGGGTAATTGGAGGTTCTTATTATGATAAGAAACAAAACATTTCTAATACTATCTTCAAGTATATTTACTATAAAGATTTTACTTCCACATTCCAATCATGTATAGATATAAGGAAGATACAGAAGGTCATGGTGTTTGCAGCTCCATATTTCACTGAATATTTTAGCTGCATACATATTAAATATTCCTAGAAATCTCTTTTTTTAATTTAATTTAAAGTTTCATCATATTTTGCTTTAGCAATAGACTCTACATAAAATTTTGTCTTTTATTATAAATGTAGACATCTTCCAAATATTTACTAATCTGAAACAACACTACAGTGAGTATTTGTATAAAGAAACCCTCATTGTATGATCCACATAAATTTCCAAATTAAAACTGTGTAAACATGATGTGTCTCTTCTCCTTAGAATTTTTCTGCTTTTTCAAATCCCAGTTCACTTTCTTTGCTGCTATGGCTCAGAGCTGACAGTCTACACTGACACATTGGCACCAGTTTTGAGGCAACATGGGGTCTAAGATTCACGACTCACTCGTCATACGATTCCCAGCGTGTGTGGCCAAGATCCCTTCCTCACGCCCCTGAGCCACATCCCTGCTGTGTCGGTGGCTGTAGCCTCGCATCTCAGCTGCAGTTAAGGCAAAGCTAACCAATCTTTTACCAGACCATAAAACTAGACATGTCCTTGAGGTCACTAGTTATAACAGTAGTAAGTTACATACATTTTATTTCTTTTTTTGCAAAACATTTGCTTATTTTTATTGGAAAGGAAGATTTACAGAGAGACAGAAAGAAAGATCTTCCAACCACTGGTTCACTTTCCAAATGGCTGCAATGGCTGGAGCTGAGCTGAGCTGAGCTGAAGCCAGGAGCCAGGAGCCGCTTCTTCATCTCCCACGTGGGTGCAGGGTCCCAAGGCTTTGGGCCTTCCTCTACTTGTCAGTCCACAAGCAGAGAGCTGGATGGGAAATGGGGCAGCTGGGACATGAGCCAGTGCTCATACGGGATCCCAGCACTTATAGGGGGAGTATTAGCCAATACAGTCATCATGTGCAGCCCTATACATTTTATTTCTAAATAGGCCTTAGTTTCATTAAGCTTAACTCTGTTTCTAATAATATGTATATATGTATAAAGTATCCAAGATGTGAAATAAATTGAACTGTGGTACACTTGAGAATAACAGTTTATTGAACAACCCATTTCCCAATATTTAGTAATTTACCAGATCCACTGCTGGGAGGAGAAAATGCAGAACATTTCCACAGCAGAAGTCAGAAGAGCAGTCATGAATGTCTGTGTATTAGAATATGCAAATGGACAGTGCGGGACTCCAGAGACTGAATGGAGCATGGTGGTGACTCTGCATCTTGGAACACATCCTGATTCATGGGGTACTGCCGGGTTTCACACAAGCCCCCTCAACTCCAGGGACAGACTGTGCCTTCCAGGTCAAGGGCTGCTTGCCCCTCCTCACTCACTGCACCCTCTCCATCTCGGAAGGTGAGCCGCTCACCTGGGCTGGGCAGCAGGTCCATGGCAGAGGTGGGCAAAGGTAAGCTGCCCACCAGGGGTCCCTGCTGAAGATCTCGTCTTGAGTTGCACTGCAGGCTCCCTGATCTGCGGACACCCCTGTGAAGGACAGGGAGCTAAACAGACTCACAAACTAGAAGAGAAGCGGAGCATCTTTTCATTTCCACTAAGGGAAGGACATAAGGTCACATGACAATTGGCCATCTCAGGAAATCCCAGCAACTGCTTCCCGACTTGACACACTGCCGAGACCCCAGGCATCAAGCCACCTCCTAGACCGTCAGGACATGAAGCGAGCTAGTGGCTCATGTTGATCATTCATTGGGATTGGGAATGTTCAAGCTCCTCCTCCTAACAATTACCTTCATCACCTATGTCCTGGAGCACCAGGCTCCACCGTGTCCCCTCTGCTCCCCACCCCGGCCCAAGGGACAGCATTCTGCTCTCCACTCCAGACACCAAACGAGTGTCGGCTCCAGACAGAGTGAAAGCACGTACTGTTTGTTTTCCCTTGCTGAGCCACTTTATTCATGACCTCCAGATCCACCCCTGTCAGAAAGCACAGGATCTCTTTATCATTATCACTGAGCCGTGCTCTGTCTGCAGGTGCCCCATTTTCCTCATCCATATTGGGAGTGGAAATGACATGGAGTGGGTAAGCAGTGCCTCAAACATGGGCAAACAGTAAGTTGATAGTTATAATCTGAGATATCAAGGAATAGTGTTCATGTGTAAAGAAGAGGACAGCAGCTGAGGACACCGAGTTCCTACCTAGCTCTTTGCTGGACAGCAGCCCCCAGGCGCAGCGTTCTCCTCAGAGCCCTGGTGACATCCCTATTCCTGAGGCTGTAGATTAAAGGATTCAAGACGGGGGTGAGGATAGTGTAAAATACAGACACCACCATGTCCTTCTCGGGGGTGTGGTAGGCTCCGGGGAGCATGTAGGTGTAGATGGCGGCCCCGTAGAAGAGAGCGACCACGGTCATGTGGGAGGAGCAGGTGGCCAAGGCCTTCTTGCGGCCCTCTGCTGAGTGCATCCTGTGCACGGTCAGCAGGATGCAGGAGTAAGAGCTTGAAATGACCGTCACGGGGGCCAGCAGCATGAGGACACAGCACAGGTACATGAGTGTCTCGTACAGCGACGTGTCCGAGCAGGACAGCTTCGTGACGGCAGGGACCTCACAGAAGAAGTGGTGGATCTCGAGGGACCTGCAGAAGGGCAGGGTCATGGTGACGGGTGTGAGCATGAAGCCATCTACTGACCCCAGGAACCAACAGCCGGACGTCAGGAGGAGACACACCCTGGGGCTCATGAGGACAGGGTACTGCAGGGGACGGCAGATGGCCACGAAACGGTCGTAGGCCATGGCGGCCAGCAGGAAGAACTCTGACCCAACTAGAGACACGTAGAGGAACATCTGCACCCCGCACTCTGGTGCTGAGATCTCGTTCCTTCCCGTGAGCTGGTCTACAAGCATCCTGGGAACGGTGACACAGACGTACATGCTGTCCAGCAGAGACAGCTGGCTGATGAAAAAGTACATGGGAGTGTGCAGGTGGGTGTTGGCGTGTATCAGCACAATGAGCATGGCGTTTCCAGACAAGGCCATCAGGAAGACCACAGCAAGGACCGTGCCGAGGAGGGTGGGGTGCTTGGATTCAAGGAAGATGCCGACCAAGGTGAAATACAGCGGGCCAGTGCGGTTGGTCACCCCAAGGGCTACATCCATAAGGTCTCCAGGGAAAGCTTTGGGGCTAGCCGGAGAAGCCCCCTGCAATGAACATCCAAGGCACGAGGGGTGTGCAGGCCTGAGTGTGCCAACCAGGATTCCCACAGACCTGCAGACTGGCAGAAAAAAACTGCCTGTAATTCAACAGATGCTTTAAAAGCCAGAATCCATTACAGTGAGTCCAAAGCATGCTGAGGCTGAGGCTGCCACAGTGCAAGGTCATGGGCATGCTGAGGACACACAATGCCAGGGACGTGGAAGTAGACTGACCACTGCCCTGAGCTGTGCCATGCAGTGAATCCCTGGAGAAGGAAAACCAAACCCCCGGCTGGGCTTTTTTGCTATTGAATAAAACTTAACCCGCCTGGCTTGAAGACCAGGCTGGGATCTAAAAGTCTCCCAGGGAAGTATTCCAGGTAAGAAGCACTTACCAAGGAACTGAGGCCACTCCTGTGGACATCCCCATCAAACACCAGCGCCCCCTCACCCCCTAGCGCCAGGCAGCCCTGGGAGCTCCTGTGGCCATGTTAGACAAGGCTCACATACCACGAGGATGGCCAATCCCCACACAGGACCCACTCCTCAGAGAACCAAGGGGCACGGGGCGGCTGGGGCACAGCCACCCCTCAGCCCACCAACCCTCCAACTGCTGGGTAGACGGGGTGTCTGACCTCAGTATGGGGAGGAGTAAGTAAAGTTAAGCTGTGAGCGTCCTCAGCATCAGGCTAGTTACAGATAAACACATGTACACACACGTGCACACACACACACACACTGTCAGCTTACACTGCCGTGGGGTCTACACCACAGACCTCACCCAAGAGAAGTTAGTGCTATTGTCCCATGAGACCCATCACCGCAGACACCTGCTTGGATGCTTAAGAACTCTTTTTCCAAAATAAGATTGGAAAAGTCCTGCCAACAAGCCAGTAGAGCCCATAGCCTGTTTATGAAAAGAATTTGGGTGTGTTAGTCCGTGTGTGTGTGAGAGAGAGAGAGACAGACAGACAGACAGACAGAGAACTTACTTGTTAACCATCCCTGTGCACCTGAGTATGCGTTTCCATACAAATGAGTGTTTACAGATACTTCAGCACAAGGATGCTTTTTCCCAGAATAAGCTTATCTTTCAATTCCAATTTCCCGTGACCTTTCTGAGTGTCCAGTGTTTGCTCCCACAGGCCCTCTCCTTAGAGCCGGCCCTTGACTTGACCTGCACCCCCATCCAATCCCACACCAGGCTTTCTCTGCCTTGGAAGACACCATCCACAACGTCCCTGCAACAGCCCCTTACTCCCTCTGCTCCCAGGAGCAAAGGTGCAGAGAGGAAGCTGGGCAGCCCCAGGATGCCTCCGACTGCAGGTCCCTGTTCTGCCTCTGAGTCGGATGCTGAAGACAGATCCAGGACAAATGGGAGCGCAAAGGGCAGCCAGGAGCAGTCTGCTCAGGAAACTAGATAAACACTATGTGGTGGAAATTAGACACACAATGCCCCTGACCTTTTGGAAGAGAACTGATGCTAACTTCTTCCATGTGGTCTCTCTAGGAGCGGGCCCTTGTCAAGCTTACCATACCTGATGTGTTGTGTTTCACTCCTCCTCCTGGGAAGACCTCAGTCGTGTTCTGACGCAGGGATATTCCAGGAACAACTTCCCAGTCTTAGATACGTGCTATCCTCTTGTTCCACCCAACACAGGTGCAGCCCTGGGTTTGGCAGCGCTGGTGACACAGACAACAAGCAGACCTGACGCCTTGATGTGGCGCCTGCATGGGCGCAAGTCACAGCATCAAGGACACTCGGGCGAGCACTGCAATGATGGCTCGGCAAGTGTGGGGAGCAAAGCCCGTCTCCCCCACAGAAATGGGTGATGGGGAATGAACAATGAAGTGTGTGGAGAGCCTGCAGAGGACAGAGCAGGGCCGCAGTGTGACCTTGGACTCCTGCACATCACCAGCTTGCCTTACACATGCACTGCAGCCTCAGCTCGGCCTCCGGAGCAGGGCTGCAGTGCAAGCTCCGTGTCACCAGCTCACCTCACACATAGACTCAGCTCGGCCTCCGGAGCAGGGTGGGTCGGATGTACAGCACAAAGCAGGAAAGTGACGTCACCCCTGCTGGACGCTGTCCACTGAGCGAGCGCCTGAAAGTCTTCTCTTAATGACCCCCTCCCCGCTCCCCAGGGCTTGGGAAAGCAGTGCAATTAGGAGGGCCAGCAGTGCCAACAGAGCCTGCACGGTCAGCTTTCGTCACTCTATCCTTTAAACATAAGCTTTGTCAGTGTGAGTCATCTCAGAGCGCACCTCCACCGGAAGGATGCCCCTGGGCAGGATGTGAGCTGCCCAGTACGCAGCCTGCCCCTACTTCACAACGCCACACCTGTGACCTGTGTGCAGGCACACACCTGGGGTGGCCTTGCTTAAACTTCAAGTCAGTTGGAAGACGTTGAACGTCTTCAGGCCAGCATCTCCCTCACTCTTCTCCACTCTGCCACCTCTGTTGCTTTAGCTTTGAATTTAAAGTGTTTTTTTATTATTATTTTAAACACTGCTATGCAATTTTTAAAAATCTGGTTCAATGAAAAATTGTAAACCGTGATGCAACCGCCAAATTTAAAAAAGAAAAGCACTAAAGCACGCATTCCTTCAACATACACGTACTGAGTATTTACCGGATCCCAGGAGATCGGGACCAGAGAGAGAGAAAATGAAGCCACCCACCCGTGTCCTGGCTGCCTTGCCACGTGGTCTCACACAGGCTCTGAGGGACACTGGACAGTGGACAGAAGGACAACACTGTGGCTTTTCTCCACTCCTGGTGTTGGTGTGGGGCAGGTGCGGCCACTGTAGGCGCTGAGGCAGCTTCAGGCTCATGTTAGCATGAGGCTGTCTAGGCCAATGTCCTTCACCAGGGCAGGTCCAGCTGCAGCCCAAGGGCAGAGTTCACCAGCTCAGCAGACTACAGGGGTGACCGCGCCTGCCACTAGGGGTCAGTGTTGCCAGCCTGAGCTCCAGGGTTGACCATTCCTGCTCGTTGAGGTCAGCACTGCCAGCCTGATTCCCCCCCTCGCCTGCAGCCCTCCAGCATCTTGAGCCAAAGTTCCTAGTGTACGCCCAGGACTGGACACACACTAAGGAGGCTGACCGCACTGAGGAGGCTGACCCTAAACCATCAACGCCACAGCAGCTGCAATACCTCCCTCCCTATGTGTGTGTTGACTTACAATTAGACATTATGAAATAGTACATGTGGACTTCAAAATGTTTGCACCAACATTCACCTTTAACGTTTTTGTGGACTTTTTGAAGTATGTCCACACATCCTAACAACAAGGTTGTCCTCTGTCCTGGGAGGCCGCCTATCAAGAACGTCACAGCACTACATCCACCTCCTCTCAACTCATGAGCTTGGTCCCCAACCATCACCCCATGCAGGGGTGTGGAGGCACTGGTCTCAGCCCTGGCTGGCTGGCCCCATGTTAGCATGTCCCGAGTGCTTCACGATGGTGAATGGGAGGCAGACATCTACATGGGAGGAAAAGCTAAAAGACACAGAGTGGGACTCAGGTCAAGGGCCATGGGCTCCTCTCTGCAGGCCCTGGGAGAGGTCTCAGGGTGGACACTGGCAGATGACCAGGCCCAGGGCAGACCCTGGGAGGGTCCCGGGGGATGGTGTAGGCAGGAGGTAGTTCATGGACGAGACATGAGAGGTCATAGGACTGGATTGATTGCTCACTTTGTCCTCGGGACACTGTGGTCAGTAACAGACAGACACAGGACTAGGGGACACCCAAGTGCAGGGAAGTGTCCTGGGTCAAGGTGGGAGAGCTAGCAGCAGCTACAGTGTGCCAGGGGCTTCAGGTAGGAGGCTGTGGGCTATGCAGTGGGCATGGGGCAGTGGGGCGGGAGAATGGGAAAAGCAACCGACTACCTGGAGGAACCGCTATGGGGAGAGACCTTCACAAAGAACGCGGCGTGATAGTCCAGAGCATAAATCCTCACTTTGCACATTCCAGGACCCCATATGGGCACAGGTTCATGTCCTGGCTGTTCTTCCTATCCAGCTCCCTCTTTGTGACCTAAGAAAACAGTGAGGATGGACAAAAATTTGGGACCCTGCATCTGCGTGGGAGACCTGGAGGAAGCTCCTGGCTCCTGGCTTCTAATTGCCTTAACTGCGGCCATTGTGGACACTAGGGAATAGAACAGTTGAAAAAGATCTTTCTCTCCATCTCTCCTTCTATCTGTATATCTGCTTTCCAATAAAAATACAATCATAAAAAGGTGCCCCGAGATGTGAACTTAGCGTGTGACTTCACGTCTTCCACGTAGGCATTTATTACCTTTAGCCTTTCTCAGCATTGGTCTTGCTGCATCCCGACGTTTTGGTGAGTTGCGTTTTCATTTGCATTCTTTCTGGTCCACCCTGTGAGATGTCCCTGATCACGTGTTCTAGGAAGAGCATGTTGTCTAATCCCCACGTGTCTCTGATGTCTCAGCCCCACCACTGCACGGATGGTCAGGGCTGTGCGTTTGCGCTGAGCAGATATTCTCACTAGGATTTCAGTCTCCTGACCTTGCCACGCCTGTGTGCTGGGCTCAGGTGAGATTCCTCGTGGGGAGTGGTGCTTGTGTGCCCTGAGGAAAGGTCTGCTCTGACGATGGACCAGAAGGTCTGGACAGATGCCAGGCTCCTGGCTTCATCGTCGCCTGTGACCCAGGGCACAGGAGCTGCTGTGATGTCACACACCTGCAGGTTGTGCAGTTTCTCTGCCGCCACATGGACCTTCCCCGTCTGTCCTGTCCTCTATTGAGCGTGGGCGCTGAGGGCTGTCGTCACTATGATGGGGAGTCTGTTTCTCCTTCAGGTCTCCCAGGGCGTGCCTCGTGTGTCTGGGATCTCTCGTGACGTGTGCACGGGATTGTCACATCTTCCTCAGGGCGATCCTTACTCGTTATCAAAGTTCTTTCCCGTGTGGTAACTTTTGATAGAACGCCTGTTG